GCATGTATAGCTACCTGGGCAGATTTTATTAAGTTGAGTACACAACAACTGGAAATTTCTCAAATTTTTGACAAAGATAGGAGGTGGGCGTGGTTCTCGAGGTATAGGTGCATCTTCCATTTCTTCCCTGTCATTTTCAAGCACCTGGTATGGATTAGGTGTAAAAAATGGAGATTCCATTTCTTGTGAAGACGTACTTGGCAGTGGTTGAGACACAGATACTTGAGTGTTCGCTGGAGGAGTTCCGGGGGGTGTTAATCGCTTACTACGACGTGTTTTCTGTTTAGGCGGTGAATTACGTGGGGTAGAGCCAACTGAATGGGACCTCTTAGTTGACATTACTTGGTGGTAATATCGCATATAAAAAAAAAAAAGAAAGGGAAAAAAAATAAATAAATAAAACTACGTCTGCGTGTTATTACAATGGATGAACCACCGGCTGAGAACCAGCCAGTTACGTGGCAGGGCCACAACTGGAGAGGGGAGCCGTCAGCTGTTATGGCTATAGAGATTAAGCCTATAGACGCTAAATCACTAAATTCACTGTCTGTAATAGTACACAGTAAATAACAACACTACTCACTGTGGTGTTAGTCCATTGTTGTTGTTTTGATGTCTGCTAACTAGTTTTTTTTTAAAAAAAGTAAAACTGAGCACTTATTCTACTAAAAAATAGTAAAACTGTGGGACACGACGTGAAATGTGGGTATTCAAATCAAGCGCATGCGCAGAACTAGAGGCCTACTAGGAATATTTGTTTTCCAAAAAATCTTTAATACTTAGATAAGTTTAAACACAATGTTATTCATATTTTTAAGAACTGATTTGATGCGTTTATTTTTGTCTACAGAGATTCTTGATTATCGTCAGTAGTAACCATAAAAATGGCGATTATTTCGACATTCGGTACTTAATACAATGCAAACACTATTTATAAGTCGATTAATATTATTATCTTTTTCTGATTTAATATAATATTTGGAGATCGGTCGTCTCCATTTGCTTTCGGACAAACTTCGGTTAATTTTGGCATTTCGTGTACAGAGCAATCAATGGAACTGCTGAAAAATTTATATGTCTTTAAGGACATACCTACATTATTTACATTAGGATATTTCAGAAGCTAAATTTTTGTACTTCATTTATCTACCTACACCTGCAGGAAAATTAGTTTAGACTGGTTAATTAAGTTGTCTTTATTGGAATTGATATCAAACGTATCCTGTCAAACGGCAGTCATTTACGTGATCTTGGCCACATTTATATTTTTCACTATTTATATACTTATATTTTTTTATATTTGGTTACTACTTTGAATATTTTAATTCAATGAAACTGTAGCGGTTTCGGCTCTTGCCACAAGGAACGAGTATGTCTTCCCGCTACCAGGCAGCGCCCTTCAAGCTCTTGAAACGTGGAACATCAAGTTCGCCTTCCCGCTACCAGGCAGAGCTCTACAAGCTCGCCCGTGCAACATACTAAAATTGTATCTTTTATTTCTTATTGTTGTATTATAAAATACTTAAATTGTAAATTGAAATATGCATATTCATTGCAAATATTTTTTGTTAATAAATTTTAATGGCGATAACATATACTGACTAAAGCTCAAAATAACTGTTATAGTAACTCTTGATAGCCGGGTTGGTCTTGGCGGAATGAATACCCCAGTCAAACCTCAAGTTGTCAGTTCTACGGAGCTCACTTCGTAGTCATGCGTCGTTCTTATTTAACAACATCCTTTTATCTTTATCCTCTTCTCTATTTCCATGCAAGATGGACGCTGATCCGTCCGCTTGCAGTCCTATATGCTGAGTCTGGAGATTGATCCCTCCGTCAGTATTTCATCCTTCCACAAGTCCGGAGTTTGATCTCTCTGGTTGTGGTTACCATCCTTGCGGAATGTTAAGGTTGATCCCTTACACCGCCAGCCGAGAGTGATTGGGTGCTGATCCGCCTGTCACTCGAAGCCATACATCTTTACACCTTCCTTCAACCATTCAATCATCTTAACCCTTTAATACTGAACACGCACTGTCGAGGCCTTTTGATAACTTGCATATACTGCCCCTGCTTTATATACCTCGACAAAACTTTATAAACAGGCTCCTGACTACATCTATGGCTAAAAAATAATGAAGATTATAATTAGGGACCGGATATTTCTACACCAAAAACCCGAAAAACATGCAGCAAAAAAAAACTCAAATAAGTGTGAAATCGTGTAATAAAAACAATAAAAAGATATAGGTTTATTTAACTTTTAAAAACGTGCAAATACAATCCATTTAATTGGTTTTGGAATTCATTAAAATAACATAGAAATCCAATATCTAGTTATTATAGTAGATTAAAATATGTACTCCTTCAAACAATATAATAATTAAATATTTATATCTTAAGAAAGTTATTTATAGTTTAAATATTACGAACCATTTAAATATTCTGAGCCAGCAATGTTACTTTTCCTTTATATGGCGTCACCAAGAAAATCAGTTACAGACCGTGCTACCTACTCTTTTTTATCAAGTTATTAACATCCGCCTAAAATTTCGTGAATGGCTTTATCATATTGTAACCTATAACAATTTTATTTGCGAAAACTCTCGGAATTGGAGATCGGCAAACTTTTTCTATTTAAATAGGTACTAAATACTCATTAACACCCATTTGCCTTACCCTTAAATTGTAATATAATTTTGTCACACAATCGAGAATAAAGGTGGCCAACTTGGCGTGGTCTCCACACCCAACATGTCAAAATAACGAGGTTAAATAGGCCAACCGGCCTAATATTTTTGCAGACCACATTTTTTTCTCGATCTTGTGATCAAATTATCTTAAGATTCAAGTGGAGAGAAAATGTGTATTTATTTATTATTTAGTATCTAATTAAATAAATTGTAAAACTCCACGTTTCTGAGAATTTTCACAGATAAAAGATTTCTCTGGTAAGACAACATGAAGCTATTTAATTGGTTTAAGCGGATGTAAATAATTTGATAAAAAGGGGTCTGTACCACGAATTATTATGGTAGCGCAGCTAAACATTAATATACAAAATAAATACAATTAGGTTTTCTTTAATTAAAAGAAAAAACTTAAAAGAGTAAAAACCAATCAACTCTTTAAGATAAAGTTGAAAAAATTATTATTTTCTTACCGTTATTCAGGATTTGGAGAAAATGTACACATATTAAAAGAAAATTGTAAAACATGTTATCAATCATTAAATTACATTATAATTTTCCACTCCGTTTCATTATTCATAATTTATATTTCCACAGGTCCTTTTCTCTTTTTTGGCAATCATCGAGACATCCAATTCCCAGAAGAACAAAGAAAGATCAACAATGCAACGAGTTATCCAGAAAAAAATGAATGTAATACGAATGAGTATTTTCCAAATAATTTATATCTTAGTAAAATAAATTCAATACAATATAAAAAAATGTATATTGGAATTTATACGGGCAATGAGAATGAGTTTTAAGCAGAAAACAACGTCGTGGGAGAATAAATATCATGAATATTCGTGGGGCTTGTTTTTGAATATATGATTAGCTAAAATTCAAAAACAATACACAGGATATTATTTAAGGTTAAATCTTACACGGAAACGATTTATAGTTAAAGTGATAAGCTAATTAATTTTTGCCAAAAATTTATTTTTGAGGAAGTAATTAAATAAGTGTCTATCTTTCATATTACGCTGCTCATTAAATAAATAACATTAACAAGAACAACCACATTTATACGAGTAATGAAAATAAGTCCTAAGCCGAAAACAATATCGCTGGAAAATAGAATATTATTTATATTCTAAAACAATTTATTCGCTTAAATATAAAGAGTATTATTTAAGGTTTGGTATTCATTATGCTAAAAAAAAAAAACCTGTACCACTACAACCCATGAAGGGTCTGGGGTTCAGTACTATTTAGGGAAAGCACTGTTTCTAGGTCTACGGTTGTGCAAGGAGGTGATTTGACCGAGATCACGCTCAACCGCGAGGTTTTCCCCCTTAATTAATTATTTAATTAAGGGTACCCATTTTATAGAGGCTGGGTGTGCCCCAGGAGGGACTCATGACCCAAGGTCGCTCCACGGCCAATGAAACAGACAAATAAATTATCTGCCATGAGCCGGGGTTCGAACTCGGGACCTTTGCATTGGAAGCTCAGTGCCCTACCACTGAGCTACCCCGCTCCCATTCATTCATTATGCTAAAGATATTGAAAATATTAAAGCAATAAACTTCCCGAAAAATGCCTGAAAAAATTAAGATATTAATATGCCCCCCTTAGGAGGCATTGATAATACGTGATAATCACGTTGTTTAAAAAAAAAACAGAGTGTATTGAGCAAAACTCGGATTAATGACTTGAGTCCGTCGAATCACGCCTATTCAGACGATCAGACCCACTCTGGTTCATCAGAAAATGAAACATAAAAATCATCCGAGTTACCATCAGAACGTTTCAAATAGCTTCTTTTGAACGATTAAATCATAATATGTTCACTTTCCATTCTCTATTCATTTTATTACTAAGTTGGTTTCATACCTAATTCAGCTTAACTACATTTAAAAACAGCTTTTAATTGAAATATGCATAATCAATCGAGGATGAACAAAATTACAAAACAAAATCAAAACCAAAACTTTTGAAAAATTTTATAACGTAATTAATTGAGTTGAAAATTGACATAAACAAATTCAATAACTAATTCATTCCGGAAAGAAATTCAGATTATTTTATTAAGCCTAGCTCTGTAAATTAAACAAAGTTTAGCCAAATATACAATATAAAAATCGGTGAAAGATTGAGGAATGACTTGATTAGTAAATCGATTTCTTTAAAAAAAAATGATGCAAAATTATTTGTAAAGAGATCTATGACTTAGCTATAAGTAACACAAATATTTAATAATAATAACAAATTGATTTCAGGTGGCGCAAAATACAATCAAACAACTGATAAGACACATACAAATGGAAACAAAGAATCAGCAAAAAAAAATATAGGTGAGTAAAAATACTTTTTTGTGGTAGCTGATAATTAATACCAAGCATTAATTTAGATGAAGAAAACCTGTTTCTCAATGGACTACAGAATAAAAATGAATTCTTACAAAATTAACAATTATAGCAATCAACTTCTGAACTAATGAATTATTTGTTTTTATTATTTTATGTTTGAAATAGATTCAGTTATTATGCAAAAAATGGCTAAGCTTAAATATAAAATATAATAAAATGTTGGACAAATGTAAAATGCCAAAAGCTTATTTTGAAAAGATGATGAAAATCATTGGTATTGAAATCTAGGCCTTAATTATAAGTAACAAAAACATTTAGTGACAATAACAATTTGATTTCAGATGGTACCAATCAGAATACTACTACAAGATCTTTTTTAGGATTTAAATTTTGGAAACACGGTCGTACAAAGGGAAAGTTGACGACGTCTTCTGACAAGGCACATTCAGTTAAAGACAAGGAATCAACAAAACAAATAAAAGGTCAGTAAAACTACTTCATTACGGTAGTTGTTTGTGTTATTATGCATTACTTTAGTTGATGAAAAGTCTGCTTGTTTCTAAATTACGGAATAAAAAAAAAAAAGATTTCCTGAAATTATATAAAAAAAATATGTAATGTAACAAGCAACATATGGAACATTTTTTTTATATGATTGAAAGAAATTAAATTATTAAGAATATGGCTTAGGATAAATATGAAATATAATTAAATGATTATAATAAAATGGACAAGTGTAAAATGCGAAAAGGTTATTTTGATGAAGAAAATCATTTGTATTGAAATCTTGGCCTTAATTATAATTAACAAAAACATTTAATAAAAGTAACAATTTGATTTCAGATGGTACCCATCAGAATACTACGACGAGATCTTTTTTAGGATTTGAATTTTGGAAACACGGTCGTACAAAGGGAAAGTTGACGACGTCTTCTGACAAGGTACATTCAGTTAAAAACAAGGAATCAACAAAACAAATAAAAGGTCAGTAAAACTACTTCATTACGGTAGTTGTTTGTATTATTATGCATTAATTTAGTTGATAAAAGTCTGCTTGTTTCTAAATTACGGAATAAAAAAAAAAAAAATGATTTCCTGAAATTATATATATATATATATATATATATATATATATATATATATATATATATATATATATATATATATTTTATTTTTTTATTATAACAATCTGTCTGTTGGACATTCGTTATAGTGAGGTAGGATGACATTCACACTATATGTACAAAAAAATAAAATAAATAGAACAAAATAATAATCAAAAGTATATACAATAGACAATAAAATAAAATAATCTAAAAAATAAGAAAATTAAAACTAAGAAAAAAAACACATGCATACCTATATACAATCAGGCGAGGGAACTCCAAGAGAACCCTGCGCTACTCTCCCAACCGTGTCACTGGTACTAAAGCCAGCGGAGATTGGTCGAGAGCACTTTAGCCACATACACTCATGTCTTGAGTGAAGAATCTGGCCATTGCCAGAACTTCAATTTATACAATCTACAAAAGGTAGAGAGGCCACTGCCGTTTCAACCTTCTTGGAGGATTATAGGGATGGGAGGTGCTTGGTAGGGATTGTGCAAGAGGATTTGGGTGGTAAGTAAGGTTCTGGTGAAATTTGGAGAATTTTTCTGGGATAAGGTCTAGGACAAATGGGATGTTGAGGTCATGATGTAGAGTTTTGTTGGTTACATAGAAAGGAGCATCGACTATTGTTCGAAGTACATTAGACTGGAAGGATTGGATGCGCTTGACGTTAAAAAATTTTGCTACTCCCCACAGTTCTAGTCCTTAAGTCCAAATAGGTTTCAGTATTGTCTTGTAGATCAGTAGCTTGTTTTCAATGGAGAGTTTAGATTTTCTGCTTAGTAGTCGGTATAGTTGGCCGTATCGTCGGTTGAGTTCTTGTCTTTTGAGTCTAGTATGCGGGTTACAAGTTAGTCTTCGGTCTAAATGAAAGCCAAGATACCGGACTGTGTCTGAGTAAGGAAGCTGGATGGAATTAAAGAGTACTGGTGGACAGGAATTGCGTCGGAGTGTAAAGGTAATGTGTTGGCATTTAGATTCATTAACTTTAATGTTCCAGTTATTACACCAGTGCTCAATCAAGGTGAGGTGGCTTTGGAGATTTTAGGTTGCTATTTCGGGATCGGGAGTTGGATGATAAGATTGCGGTGTCGTCAGCGAATGTTGCAAGAAACGTATCGGGATGAACAGGGATGTCAGCAGTAAAGAGGATGTAAAGCACGGGACCCAAGACGCTGCCTTGGGGAACACCGGCTTTAACGGAGTAGATATTGGAAAATTCTGTTCCACAGCGAACTCGAAAGTAGCGGTCAGAGAGGTAGGATCGGAGAACTAGGTAAAAGGACTGAGGTAAATGGATTTTAAGCTTGGAGAGCAGTCCGGAGTGCCATACCCGGTCAAATGCCTGTGCAATGTCCAGAAAGGCACCCGAACAGTATTCCTTGTTTTCTAGGGCTGAGGAAATATGATCAACAACTCGGAGTCCTTGTTGAACAGTAGAATGTTGAGAGCGAAAACCAAACTGATGGGAAGGGATATTTTGTTATTCTATAATGGGTAGGATTCGTTTCAAAAGGATCGTTGAAATGATCGAGAGTAGGCTGATTGGTCTAAAGGATGTTGAGCTATTGGGAGGTTTGCCTGGTTTCGGGAAAAGGATAATAGTGGAGTGTTTCCATAACAGAGGGAAGTGGGTGGTGAGTTGGATACAATTGCAGATATATGTAAGGAATATGACTGCTTTATATGGAAGTTGTCGAAGGATTTGAGGTGTAAGGAGATCATGTCCAGGAGCTTTGCGGGGGATTATTTTTTTAGTTGAAATTTTACTTCGGAAGGATGAATAGCTTTTGGGGGCAAGGAAAGTGGGTTTGGTGATGTAAGGAGTTCTTCTACTGTTACGGTGTGGGCAGGATAGGATTCCGGATGTGAAATAAATGTATTGGATAGGTGAATGGCGAACTCCTCAGCTTTATCTTCGTCAGATGCTGCCCAGGAGCCATCACCTCGTCGGAGGGGATGGGAAATGCGGTGAGGATTTAGGATTTTTGTTATGGTTTTCCAAAGGGAATTGTCGCTAGAAGAGAGGGAGGATAGGTAGGAGTTGAAGGATTGTGATCTGAAGGTGGCTAATTCCAGTTTTAATTGTTTGCAGTAGTAATTATAGGAGCAGCGGTCGGTAGGATGTTGGGTACGTTGCCTTAATAATCTGGCACGGCGTTTGGTGTGGATTAGGTTATGGAGGTGTTGGGGTAGAATGGTCTTTATAGGAATTCTGGAGGAGTCTTTTGGGAAGGAGGCAGTCCAGGCGGCTTGTTGGATTGTGGTAGTAAAGGAATTTACGGCACTATCAAGGTCATCGGGAGTTTTGAGGGATATGTTGAGATCAATATTATCGGAGATTATTTGGCGGAAAAGGTCCCAGTTTACTGGGCCCCTAATGAATGACGGTGGAGAAGGTTCGGGAACGGGTTCAAGTGAAACATTAAGGATTAGAGGACTATGGTCAGAGGAAAGTTCATTTAGACGTGTAATGGAACAATTGAGGGAACTTAAGCCGCTGTGGATAAAGAAATCAAGAAGATCAGGATTTCGGTTGGGATCTGTGGGCCAGTAGGTAGGAGAGTTGGGGGAAAGGAGGTGAAAACGTTGGGAATTGAGTGCAGACAGAAGGGTTCGGATACGAGAATTCGTGGTTTTGGAACCCCATTGTTGGTGCTTGGCATTTAGGTCTGCACCCAAGATGAAGTGATGTCCTAAGCAGTCGAGGAGAGAACTGAATTGGGCATTGGATATGGATCGGTTAGGAGGGCAATACGCTGATGCAAGAGTAACTGGAAAGGAGAAGGTTTTTATCACAATTGCGGTGGACTGTAGGAAATCATGTATAGGTAATGGGAGTACGTGATGGGATTGGTGTACAATTACAGCAGTACCGGCATGTGCTTTTCCGTCAGGGTGGTCAGTACGATATGTCAGGTATTGTGGTATATTGAAGTGCTGTTTAGTGGTTAGTCGAGTTTCAGTAATTAGTGCCATATCAATGTTCTTGTCAAGTAGTAAAGTAGATAGTTCGTCTGTATGATTTCTAACACCATTCGCATTCCAAAGGAGAATGGATATGGGTTTAGGGATGTGAGTCATTTAAGGATTTTTTAAAGGAGGGATAAGGTGAGATACGAGATTCGTGAGGAATGATATGAGTGGAGTAACAAAGGATTTGAAATCGGTGAGGAATGATGCTAACAAACTTGTGAGATCTGTTGCATTTGAAGGAGGAGGAATATGAGGTATTTGTTGTTGGTGGTTAGGTATATTAGGATGAAGAGGATTTTGAGGTTGGGGTTGAGGTTGTTGTTGTGGCAGGGCTTGACATTTATCGGTTGAAGCCTTACCTCTAAGTAGTTGGGAGAATGATACATCATTGTTTACAATTCTGGAATGCTCTCTCTCTCTTCTTGTTCTTAGTGCTTCATCTTGAATCCGGTTTTTCTGGTGTCTGGTTTTGAGATTCTAGTAAATTTGGCAGCCTCTGTAGTTGGCCGGGTGTCCCTCCAAGCATAGGGCACATACTGCTGGATCTTGTATAGGTTTGGTGCACTCTACAGATTTGTGCTGTTCACCGCACTTCACGCAACGCGGCAGATGGTGGCAATATGTCTTCTCGTGTGGCCATAGGTCTGACAATTATGGCACTGCACGATGTCTCTCTTGGGGTATGGCTTCTCAACTTTCACCATTGTGTAGTATATTCTTGTGATATCATATATTTTTTCTATACCTGGTGATGGCTCCAAGTCCACGAAAAACAATGGTAGTGGGATCCTATTTCGTAATCCTGGCTGCTCCCTGTCCTCCTTCAAAACGTTTGTTACCTGGCGTACATTGAAACCAAGCGTCGTTAGTTCTTCTTTAATAACTTCAGTGGGGGTTGAGGAGTGTAAATTTTTTATCACTACTCGTAAAGCTCTTTCCTGCCTCAGCTGGTAAGTGTGAAAATTCGCATTTGTTTCTGATAAGTACTTCACTATTTTTCGGTAGGCTTCTGCAGAATCAGCTGTTATTTTGGTGTCATTGGTCCTGTTAAGGCATGAATAACTGCCAGAGCAGCTTTTATTTAGTTAGGTGCAGAACATCTGGAATTTTTTTATATTTTTCACAAATATCGGAGCAGGCTTTGGTTCTCTGGGTATTGCTGCAGACTCCATTACTTCTCGGCCATTTTGAAGCACTTGGTAGGGGTTTGGAGTAAAGAAAGGCAATTCTTTAATCGTTTCTTGTGCAGACGTACCTGGTTGGGGCTGAGGTTCTGATTCTGAAGTGTTCATTTTGGTCACTGGAGGTATTTCACGTAGGCAGCGACGAGTCCTTTGTTTGGCTGGTGAGCTAACTCCGCCTGACCGAGACCTCTTGGGCACCTTACTGGCCATCACTTGCTGATCATACCGCATATCATAAGAGAAAAAAAAAAAAAAAAAATTTTTTTTTTAAATAACAAAAAAAAAAGATGTCAACAGTAAATATCAACTGCTCTGATATACACTTTAAATGTATTACGTGAATAATCAGAGAGATTCCGCTATAAAATTATCAAAAACTGAGAGAGGAGTTGAGGAGACAACCTTCGCATCATCTGATCCACTGAATTCCTTCTGAAATTATATAAAAAAATTATTTAATATAACAAGCAACATATGGAACATTTTTTTTTATATGTTTGAAAGAAATTCAATATTAAGAATATGGCTTAGGATAAATATGAAATATAATGAAATGATTATAATAAAATGGACAAATGTAAAATGCGAAAAGGTGTTTTTGAGAAAATGAAGAAAATCATTTGTACTGAAATCTTGGCCTTAATTATAAGTAACAAAAACATTTAATGACAATAACAATTTCATTTCAGATGGTACCCATCAGAATACTACGACAAGATCTTTTTTAGGATTTAAATTTTGGAAACACGGTCGTACAAAGGGAAAGTTGACGACGTCTTCTGACAAGGCACATTCAGTTAAAAACAAGGAATCAAGAAAACAAATAAAAGGTCAGTAAAACTACTTCATTACGGTTGTTGTTTTTATTATTATGCATTACTTTAGTTGATGAAAGTCTGCTTGTTTCTAAATTACGGAATGAAACAATTAATTTTTTTATTAAATCATACCACAAAATTAAATGATATAACAATAAACATATGCAATATTTGTTATTGTTTATGTTTGAAGGAAATTCAATTATTAAGAATATGGCTAAGGATAAATATGAAATATAATTATATGATTATAATATTTTGTAATATTAGTCATATTTTGAATAAATGATGAAAATCATTTTTATTGAAATCCAGGCCTTAATTATAAGTAATAAAAACATTTACTGACAATAACAATTTGATTTCAGATGGTAGCCATCAGAATAGTACGACAAGATCTTTTTTAGGATTCCACTTTTGGAAACACAGTCGTACAACGCGGAAGACAACCACAGAAAAGTTGACGACGTCTACTGTCAAGGCACATTCAAATAAAAACAAAGAATCAGCAAAACAAACAAAAGGTCAGTAAAAATACTTCATTATCGTAGCTGTCAATTAATACAGAATAAAAAAAGTTGAAACTTTTCTTAAATTACATCACAGACTTAATTGACATAACAATCAAATATCTAATATTTATTTATAAGATCTATTTGGACTGAGTCGAGCTTTGGGACTCCACTAAACCATCAAATTTCTCTCGTATCCAATCTTTACAGTCCAAAATCCTTCGTAAAATCCTTAATGCCCCATATTTTGTCACAAATAAAACCATTCATAAAGACCTTAATGTTCCAAATGTCGCTGATTTAGCCGGTGCCAGATATCTATTCTTCCATGATAAACTCCAGTCCCATCCAAATTCACTTGTTTCCAGCCTTGCTTCTTTCTCGACCCCTGATAACCCTCCTAGGCGTCTGAAATGAAGATGAAAATGAAGTCTCGTGATATCCTAATTTAGAAACTTTATTAGAGTGCTACCAATGGGTAGATTCTCTACAATCCTTCTAATATCATGTATTTATTTGTATCACATTTGATGAATGTATATTAAGTATACAGTTGTATATTTTATAAATAATAATAAAAAAGTAAATATTTTAGATAAGCTCTTAAATTATCATGAAGAATTGGTCTCACGAACACGTTTCAGGTATCAATCGATTCAGCACAAACAGAGCTGTAAAAATCAATTATCAAATGCTAATCCCATATCGTTTGTCTTGGAATTTGTCTCCAAAAATGTGCTTTCGGTCCACTGTGCGACTGTGTGCTTAGAATTTTATTATCTTGAACAGTTTTTGAACAATTCCTTTTTATTTAATAAAAAACGTGATCATCTTGATTAAAAATAATAGATATATATTTTATTAGGCCACTCATATAATGAATATTATTAAAATATATTAAATAAATAAATATAATAAAGTCATAAGAAATTACATACCTACGTTGCGATTAAAAAGTCGGAATAAAAATTACTGCGTCCTAACTTTTACAAACTTAGAAAGCATTAGCAAGTAATATCCTAGACGAAAAACAAAACATTTGTGTATTGAGTCAGAGAAAGTGGTTAATTCTCTACTTTGATTCCAAGAAAGATTTCCTGTTTACGAACGGCGTTTCATTTGATTATCTTATTTAATGCTTTATAGTTTGCAAGAATACATAACGTGGACAATTCTCTTTGTTTACATTCTGAAATAAAGGAATAAGGTTCCTCCTAGTTATCAAATCTCCGACAACGTATGTTATATTATATCCCCATCGCTCGCTGTTGACTTATTTGATAATTTTCCAACAAAGACCTGGCTTTATCAAAAGGCTGTGCGACAGAAGTACTACAGGATTGACTTTGCTGCCATCGCTTTCACGACAAAGGTTACCGACTATCCAAAGAAAAATAAGCTTACAGGCTTACGAACCGGAACGGACTGATTTATGAAAATCCTTTTTATTATAAATATATGATTATAAGTCTTATAATTATATATTTCAGAAATATTCTTATTTTTCTGATAAAATAACAAATATTATTATTTGAATATTTAATTGTATGCTAATATTATTTTATTTTAATTTGTTTTTCATTAAAATAAATTTAGTAATATTAATTGCAAAGGGTCTCAAGTGAACGGTGGTAACTATTGTTTGTTAATTATTGATGTACGCATCTCAATGAAGGTTTTCGAAATATTTTCAAAGAATGGATGGAATCTAAAAATTTTCAGTGGAAGGAATGCACAGAATTGCCATGGAACTTCCATAATTACATAAACTGTGAAATGGTTCCCGATGAACAAAATAAATGTTGTTTTTTCCGTATTTCTATACTCTAAAAAATGGAAAAGCATTTTAGTGGACATTAACAAATATTTTATAATAATTGTGTGAAAACTACAATTATTGGTTAGCCAAATTCACGCTACATTGTCCATATGTTTTAATACTTTAATTAAATTCAACAGCGTATAATTCAACAACAACAAAATCTGGCCGTGGATACCTCAGACCTGATTGGGTAATGGTAGTTTTAGTTCAGTGAAGAACATAAAAAGGGTTATATCCGTTTGGTACCACTGTGTGCAGTCCATTTTGGAGAAACGTTCCAATCAAAATCTAAATAGAAAAATAAAGAACGTGAAGTTCCCAAAATAATAACCTCTAAGTACCTAAATTACTAATAATAGCATTTATGAATTTTATGTGCGAATCGAACATATATGCTAAAAACATAAATCAATTTATTGTATAAACATATGTATTTATGCTTTATGAAGTTTAAAATTAACATTATACGTCTCTAACGATTTTAATGAAACTTTCTTCTAATTTTCTACTTAAAGTCTTTTAAATTTTCGTATTTTTAGTGAGTTCTCGGGAAAATTCAAGAAAAAAAAGTTATAAAGAAAAGAATATTGGTTTGGGGAGCTACCTCACCACGTATACACCTATCGGTTTTAAACAGATCTAGACGTTTCTGAGCCTATTTTTTGAAAGGTCATTAAATTTCTGACAAAATTGTTGACAAAAAGATCATCTGAATCGGACCAGTTTTAGCTGTTATAGTATATATTGGGTTTTATACGTTGATTTTAATGGTGTACCAAGTGTCATGGCCGCAATTACAGTCGTATGCTTGCATCGCTCTGTCGTTGTTTCCTTTTCATCAGGTTAATGCTTCAATTTCTGCTGCTATACAGTGTGAATAGTGTGCTTTTGTACATTTGAACATTTCCACATTAAAATATTGAGGTGAGAGACATTTATTAAAATTATGTTGACTATTTAATTGATATACGTTCGGTAGAAACAGCTCAGCTGGCCGATAATTCCTTTTACGGGTCTTGTCATATCAAGATAGATTCACGGTCAACGCCTGGTACCAACATTCCTTCCTTCGAGTGATATCGAGTTCGTATCTAAGAACTTTTTTTTTTTTCAATTATTTTTATTTGAGACTTTTAAGTTTTATTTATTTATGTACATTGAGAAATGTTTTATTTTATCTGTAAATATTTTTGTAAATAACTTAGTTTTAAGAATTAATTTCTTTTATTTCCATTTTAATTCCATTATAACTTTTATAGACTTTTAATTATTTTGTTATCATGGATCTTGTTAATCCGTCGTGTGATGAATCGGAGAAAGAGACACCATTTTCCGAAATAAGCGAGACAGATTCGCAATATTTAAAAAGAAGAACACTCCAAAAGCGCAATAGAAATTCTGCCCCTGGATCGGCGGGTAACTCACCTACTAAGAAAAAAAAATAAAGCTACCAAATCAAAAAAAATATCTGAAAATAGCAAATCTACACAAAACACCCGCAGTAAAACCACTGCACCCAACAAATTAGAAACAGTTCCACCATCCAACTCAATCAGTAATTTTGTTACTACCAATATTTCATCAAATAAAACTCAGGAGCCAAAAATATTTTCGAATCCAGAACCACCACCTATTTTTGTATCAAAAATTGAAAATTTTATGTCCTTCGGGCAAGAAATTGCTGACTTGATAGGACAGCCTAATTTTCGATGTTATTCAAGAGTTAATGATATAAAAATTAACACTAACTCTAAAGAAATCTATAAAAAAACTCATCGAGCATTTTACATCAAGAAAATACCAATTCCACTGCTATCAACTCTGACAGGAAAAAGCGTATAGAGTAATCTTGAGAGGTCTGCATTCAAGTACCACCACAAACGCTATTAAAATCGGATTGGAAGAAATAGGCCACAGTGTCAGAAATATTTCACCCGTATTACATCCTAGGGAAAAATATCCGTTACCACTATTTTTCGTGGATCTGGAACCAGCAAAAAACAATTCCGAAATACTTCAGGTAACGAGATTAGTATACTCAACAGTCCGTTTTGAGGAACCTAGACAGAAGCCAATAGTAGTGCAGTGCACAAACTGTCAAAATCTGGGACATACTAAAGCCTACTGCTTTCACGAGGCCAGATGTGTGAAATGTGCAGGTTCACACGCATCAGACACTTGTCAGAAACCAAGGCACGAACCTGCGATATGTGCTCTTTGTGGTGAAGCCCACCCTGCGAGCTATAGAGGTTGTGAGGTTTATAAAAGTCTCCACAAGCAAAGATCCCATAATATAGCAGTAAGAAGCCAGAACCTTGTTCAGAAAAGTAACACAGAACCGCCTGAAATTGAAAATCTGGATGTTTTCCCAGTACTGCCGTCAACACCGCAAATCGTCCAACAACGGCCATCGACCACTGTATCAACGGACCTTCCTCAACAAGAATCCACCAAGCAACACTCCCAAACCACTATCATCAAGCAGCAACCTCGACGTCAGGCGCCTCAGACCTTCAAATCCAAACCTAAAATCACTAATCCTCAGCATCAACCTCCACGTCAACAAATTCCCCCTCATTATCTTAACCTAACGGTCAAACTTTCGCCGGAGCATCCGCATCCAGCACAATCCCATCCAAATCTCCAGATGAACCCACCATCATATGTACCTCAGAAATTTCAACCAACTCCTCGTACCCAACAACGGACCCAACCCCCTACCAATAACCTTAATCGCACAAATTACCAACCACAACCTCCTCTTGATCCGAATCCACAGATCCTTCAAAGCCAAACATCATCCGACATCAATTCTATCCTATCAGCATTCCTGATAGACCTTCAACAGACTATCAAACCACTCAAAACCCTTCTAACCAGATTCCTTTCCGAAATCCCATTCAATTTTCCTCGATCAACAAGAAGCCCCTAGGTATTCTCTTATGGAACGCTAATGGACTACAAAACCACCGTAACGAACTAGACATATTTCTTCATGACAATTACATTGACATTGCCCTCCTGACGGAAACTAATTTCACACAACGATCAAACTTTTACATAACTGACTACATCACTTACAGATCAGACCATCCAGATAACACTACCCACGCAGGCTCTTGCATCCTTATCCATAAATCCTTATCTCATTCCCTAATCCCTTCCACCCCAACTGACGCCATTCATTCAACATCGGTAATCCTATCAACTCGCCCTTTCCATCTTACATTATCAGCTGTATACTGTACTCCTGGAAATTTCCTTTCTCATGGCCTTCTTGATTCCTTATTCCAATCACTCGGATCACGCTTTATTGCTGGAGGAGACTACAATGCTAAACACCAACGATGGGGTTGTCGAACATCCAATTCCCGTGGTAATATCCTATCTCATGTCTCATCTTCTAATAGTTATTCTATCCTCTCTCACTACATCAATAGCTATTAGTATAAATGATAACACTTCCATCAATAAAAGCAATAACTCACGATATAGTAACTTGCCATTAAATATTCGAATCTTATTAAGAAAAAAACGCAGAGCAAGATCGAAATGGCATAGGACTAGATATCCTTCAGATAAAACTTACTATAACGAATTGACTAACAAACTAAAAATAGAAATTAGAAAATTCAAAACACAAAAATTACTTAACCTAACTGATAATCTTACAACTACTGACAAATCTCTATGGACGACCACAAAAAGGATACTAAAGTTTAAAGACTTTAACCATCCACTATTAACTGAATCCCAAACCTGGTCCAAATCCGATGAAGAAAAATCTCAACTATTCGGTCAATACCTCTTCCAAACCTTTAATATACCACATCCTGATATCCTTAATCCACATCAAATTGAATGTATTGAAGCAGAATGGATATTCCACTCCAAATGACTCTTCCACCTAAAGCATTTAATCCTTATGAAATATCTAATATCATCAACAGATTACCTTCCCGAAAAGCTCCTGGACACGACCTTATCACTTCCCAGATCCTAAAACTTCTTCCTCGGAAAGCCATCCTATTCCTCACTTACATATACAATGCTGTGCTCCGATCCACATATTTCCCTGATTCTTGGAAAATATCTATTGTCAAAATGTTACACAAACCTAAAAAACCACCCGAACACCCATCCTCTTACCGTCCTATTTCTCTGTTACCTATCATGGGCAAAATCCTGGAAAAACTCATCCTAAAACGCCTGTATCCCATCATAGACTCTAATCATATTATCCCTGATCACCAATTTGGATTCCGCACATCGCATTCCACTATCCAACAATGTCACCGTGTGGTTGATGTAGTCTCCTCTGCATTGGAGCGCGGTATGTACTGCACGGGAGTCTTTCTCGACGTTGAACAGTCTGGTACCCGGGTCTTCTGTACAAACTCCGAAAAGTCCTACCCCCTACATACTTCCTCATTATCCTCTCCTATCTTACCGATAGATACTTCAAAGTAAACCAAAATAATTTCTTCTCATCCCTCTTTGCTCAATCTGCAGGCGTTCCACAAGGTAGTATCCTCGGTTCAATCCTCTACACAGTTTATACAGCTGACATCCCAATCCATCCTGACACTGTCATCACCACTTACGCCGATGACACATGTTTGCTATCTGTTAATAACGATCCTTTAATTGCATCCCAAACTCTTCAATCACATATCACAAGCCTTGAAGAATGGTGTAAAAATTGGAGAATAAAAATAAATTCCAACAAATCCCATCAAATCACCTTTACCCTCCGTCGTAAACCTATGACGTCTTGTCCTACAGTAACTTTCAATAATACTCCACTTATTCCTGTTGAGCAAATCCACTACTTAGGACTCCATCTGGATAAACGTCTTACTTGGAATCCTCATACTAGACTGAAACGACAAGAAACTGCTCGACGTTTCCGACTGCTCCAACACTTACTAGACAAACGCTCCAAACTTTCTATTAATTACAAAAGACTTATCTACATAACTATAATAAGACCTATATGGACATACGGAGTTGAGCTTTGGGGCTCCACCAAACCATCGAATTCCTATCGTATCCAATCCTTACAATCCAAAATCCTCCGTAAAATCCTTAATGCTCCATACTTTGTCACAAATAAAACCATTCATAAAGACCTTAATGTACCATATGTCGCTGATTTAGCTCGAGCCAGATATCTATCCTTTCATGATAAACTTCATTCCCATCCAAATCCGCTTGTTTCCACTCTTGCTTCTTTCTCGATTCCTGATAATCCTCCTAGGCGTCTGAAGAGGAGATGGCCTCGTGATCTTCTTACTTAAAATTATTTAGAGAGTGCTACCACTGGGTAGTAACTCTTCAAGCCTGTACATGCCATTATTTATATTTGCGCATATTTACTCGTTGTATTTGTATACAGTTGTAAATTTCATTAAATAAACAAACAAAAAAAAAAAAAGATTTTAATGGTGGTTTACTTGCCTGTTAACATTACTTGTTTTATTTTTATTTATTGTTACATTTCGCATCTAGCGTCGGAACATTTCTTGTTTCATCAAAGGAATCCTACTCAAACGATTTCACGGATCGGTGTTTATTAAAATGAATCTATTTCAATTTTTTTTCTTTATCTAATTTTTTAATATCTAATATTTTCATTTAATAAATACATTTAAAGTTATGTTATTTATTTATTTTTTAAATATATAGGAAAGTCTTTTAAGTGAACACAATAAATTTTTAATTAAAATCATTGGGAACAATATATAAATTGTCTTTACTCTACAACTCTTTCATTCCATATAATCGGAGGGATGGAGGAAGGTTATCACTATCTTTCTTTATTCTTAATTTTATTTAGTTGTACTTTACAATGTTTATGTCTATAAAACATCTAATTGTAGTTATTTTGTAGCGTTATTTTAAAATTTAAAATAGTATATTAATAAATAGCAATAAGCTGATAGTTAACTGCAAGACTCTTGCGCAAGACCAAGACCAAGACCAAGGTTCGTTGGGCAACACTACACACGAGTGATAGATGTGGTTATTTATTTATTGAGTATTACAGCAATCTGTTACTTGAGCATTGGTTATAGTGAGGTAGGATAAATTCACACTATATGTCTATAAAAATATAAAATAAATAGAAGCAAAATAATAATCAAAAGATATATAAAATAAATGAAATAACTAAAAAATAAGAAAATTAAAATAAAACAAAAACACATGCATACCTATATACACTTTTTGCAATCAGGCGGGGGACTTCCGAGGCAGGCTTGTTCCTCCCACTATGGAGAGAAAAGCTGCTGGACTCCAGGAGAACCCTGCGCTCTCAATCGCATCACTGATACTATAGGCAGCGGTGATTGATCGAGAGCAGTTTAGCCACACACACTCATATCTTGAGTGGAGAATCTGGCCATTGCCAGAACTCCAATATATACAACCTACAGAAGGTTGCGGGGCCACTGACATTTCAACCTTCTTGGAGGATTATAGGGATGGGTAGTGCTTGACAGGGATTGTGCAAGAGAGATTCGATGCTACGTAAGGTTCTGGTGAAATTTGGAGAATTTTTGTGGGATAAGGTCTAGGACAAATGGGATGTAGAGGTCCTGATGTAGGGTTTGTTGGTTACATAGAAAGGATCATCAACTATTGTTCGTGTTGGTTTGTTTTTCTGTTCCCCACAGTTATGGTCCGTAATTTGTTTTCAATAGAAAGTTTACATTATCTGTTTAGTAATCTGTATAGTTGGTCGTATCGGTCAAGTTCCTGGCGTTTAAGTCTAATATGAGGATATCCAGTCGTCTGTCTATGGGAAAGTCAAATGTTGGACAAATATTCAATATAAAAAATTGACAAAATATTAGTGAATGATTTGTTTTGTGAAGGCATTGGCTCATTCTTTAAAAATATATATATACAAATCATTTTTATTGAAATCTAGGCCTTAATTATAACTAACAAAAACATTTAATGACAAGAACAATTTGATTTCAGGTGGTAGCTCTCAGAATAGAGTCAACAATTCTTTTTTAGGATTCCCTTTTCGAAAATCCAGTCCTACGAGTACAACAAAAAAGACCACTACCAAAATGTTAATGACGCCTATTGACAAGGCAAATTCAAATAGAAATAAAGAATTAGCAAAAGAAACAAAAAGTGAGTAAAAATAGTTCATTTTCTTAGCTGTTAATTAATACCATGCATTAATTTAGCTGAAGGAAATATTTTTTTGTAATAACATTAAACCTATCTATTAGGAAGGCAAAATCAATCCTTCGATAAATCGACATATAAATTCGACTAAATTTTTAAAAAAAATTTTGATTTTCGCAAGGATTGACAGATTAAAGAATTTTCATAATAAAGATTGAGAGTATTATATCGAATATCTAAAGAACAGTAACTTTAAAGCAGGGTCGGAAATAAGGGGATAAAGGGGACACTTCCCACTGGTGGCAGAATTTGAAAAGCAGCAAATTACGATTGAATTGTTGTTAAGCTTTAAGAAATAATATTTTCAACGTTTTGGTTGTTTTAACTTCAATTTATGCAATAAACTGAATACATAATATTTAAATTATAACATTTATTTCGATATATATATCACGTAAAATATATCTTTTTTTTCCCTTTTATTGAATAATATTATATTTTGTGTTAACTGGTATATTTGGTCATTTAACTGGTGTACATTAAAGTTGAAAGTTAATCGATTTTAAATTAATATATTTTTCACCGGTCTTTGGCCCTTCTGTGCCAGAGATGGGCATATTTATATACAAAAATATAAATACGAATACCATTAATATTTATGGTACAAATGAATATAAATACGAATATATTCATATTCATAAAAAGTAATATGAATACAAAAGATACTTATTCACGACTGTAAATATAAATACGGCCGTATTCACGACTGTAAAAGTGAATACGGCTGTATTTACACCTGTAAAAGTGAATACGGCAGTATTCAGGTTTACTAAAATGAATACGGTTAAATTTACAGAAGTGAATGGAAATATTTTCACAAAATCTTATTAATGAATACTCTTATTTATTTTTAAAAAAATGTATTTATCAAATTATTTATTAAAAAAAAGATTTGCTATATATATCATTTTATTTTTATAAATAGTACTATTATTCTCCCTTTTACAATATGTTTTGTTAATTATGTTGCAATGTATTATGTTATGTTAATTATCACATATTCACGACTGTAAATATAAATATGGCCGTATTCGCGATTTTAAAAGTGAATACGGCTGTATTTACACCTGTAAAAGTGAATATGGCAGTATTCAGGTTTACTAAAATGGAATACAGTTAAATTTTCACTAAAAATTTGTGAATGGAAATATTTTCGTACAACCTTATTAATGAATACACTTATTTATTAAAAAAAATGTATTTATTTACAAAAATATATATTATATATATATATATATATATATATATATATATATATATATATATATATATATCATTTTATTACCCTCTGTATTTATACTAGTAAAAGTGAATACGGCAGTATTCAGGTTTACTAAAATGGAATACAGTTAAATTTTCACTAAAAATTTGTGAATGGAAATATTTTCGTACAACCTTATTAATGAATACACTTATTTATTAAAAAAAAATGTATTTATTTACAAAAATATATATTATATATATATATATATATATATATATATATATATATATATATATATATATATATATATATATATATATATTTTATTACCCTCTGTATTTATACTAGTAAAAGTGAATACGACAGTATTCATGTTTATTAAATTGAATACGCTTAAATTTACATAAGTGAATGCAAATATTTTCACACAACCTTATTAATGAATAATCTTATTTATTAAAAAAAATGTATTTATTATATTATTTATTTAAAAAAATATATTTACTATATATATCATTTTATTTTATACATAGTATTATATTCATCCTTTTACAATATGTTATTTTAATTATGTTACAAGGTATTATGTTATGTTAATTATCACTTGTAATGTTTGTACGTATTACAAATTCCCGAGCCTTTGTATTTACACTAGTAAAAGTGAATACGGCATTATAAGCGTTTATTAAAATGAATACGCTTAAATTTACGGAAGTGAATGCAAATATTTTTACACAATCTTATTAATGAATACTCTTATTTATAAAAAAAATGTATTTATTAAATTATTTATTTAAAAAAAATTTCTATATAAACCATTTTATTTTTATATATAGTATTATATTCTTCGGGCATCGCCTCTCTCCTTCCCCCCAATAAAAATTCTGAGTAGGTGAGAATATTGGAATTTCTTAAAGAGCAGGTACTCTCGTGAAAAAAAATTGAAAAAAAAATCCCTATCATCCAGATTACAAGAGCCTGCTAAACAAACAGACTCAGTTTCGCTATCAACTTCATACATTGTTTTATATGCAAAACTTAACACATTAACAAATATATTCACACATTACACACTGAACGGCAGGTCCGGAAAGGTCACTATTCAAATTTGACAGCTCTTGCCCCTTTCCTAGCTTCAACTCTGTCGTGTACACTTATTTCCCAATGGGATTTCCAGGGTATCGTTCTGAGTGTTGTACCTACCCTGGCCGTCTATTAAACTTATCTTTATTACCATTAGCAGCCCATAAGTAAACAGTGCACCGAAAAGTCTGTACGTCTAGGATCATAAACGTAGGCTTTCCATTCTGGTACGGGAGAGACCCCACCCTCTGGACCCAATAAAAAAAAAAATGCTTGTGAATTTATATTACGTACAAACATTCCGAGTGATAACTAACATAATATATTGTAAAACGAAGAATATAATACTATAAATAAAAATAAAATGGAATATATAGTAAATATATTTTTTTAATATAAATAATTTAATAAATATATTTTTTTGATAAATGAGATTTTGTAAAAATATCTGCATTCACTTCTATAAATTTAAGCGTATTCATTTTCATAAACGTGAATACTGCCGTATTCACTTTTGCTATAAATACAAAGGCTCGGCAATTTATATTACGTACAAACATTAAGAATGATAATTAACATAAGATATTGTATAAGGTAGAATATAATACTATATATACAAATAAAATGATATATATAGTAAATATATTTTAAATAAATATTAAAATAAACACATTTTTTAAAAATAAATAAGAGTATTCATTAATAAAGTTGTGTGGAAATATTTCCATTCACCTCTGTAAATTCAAGGCTATTCATTTTAGTAAACGTGAATACTGACTGCCGTATTCACTTTTACATGTGTAAATACAGCCGTATTCACTTTTACAATCGTGAATACGGCCATATTTATATTTACAGTCGTGAATATGTGATAATTAACATAACATAATACATTGCAACATAATTAACAAAACATATTGTAAAAGGAGAATAATAGTACTATTTATAAAAATAAAATGATGTATATAGCAAATATTTTTTTTTAATAAATAATTTAATAAATACATTTTTTTAAAATAAATAAGAGTATTCATTAATAAGATTTTGTGAAAATATTTCCATTCACTTCTGTAAATTTAACCGTATTCATTTTAGTAAACCTGAATACTGCCGTATTCACTTTTACAGGTGTAAATACAGCAGTATTCACTTTTACAGTCGTGAATACGGCCGTATTTATATTTACAGTCGTGAATACGTATCTTCTGTATTCACATTACTTTTTATGAATACGAATATATTCGTATTTATATTCATTTGTGCCATAAATATAAATGGTATTCGTAATTATATTTTTGAATATAAATATGCCCATCTCTGTTCTGTGCTACGGGGCTTGTCATTGAGAGGCCTATTAATTATCGAATGTATCTTAATTATGGATTACCCTGTTGTTTTCAAGGAAATCATAATCACCCGAAGGTTTACGATATCGGTGGTAGACCTCGAGGAAAATAATATTAGATATTAGTTCGCCTGCTGACCCCAGCAGTCATATTGAGTGGATCTAGACTGATTTGTCACTGTCCATTATTATTTATTTATTATTTTCAATTCAAAGCATGGATCAAAAAATAGGTTATAATTTCACCAACAACATACTTTTAGGTAATCAAAAAGGACGCAGATATTATTTAAGAATTCGATCGAAAAATCACAATAAACCATCTACCACAATCAAGCCAGACATTGCAACTTGCAAACACTGCTGTACAACAACCAAGAGCATAAATCGTAAGTAAAACATCCTCAATTGCAATTACTGTTAAACAATAGAATTTATCCTTACTGGACTTCAGCAAATGAAATTTTCTTTCCTTTAAACAATAGAGCATGTTGATTTGATGATATAATAAATTATTGGATAACTTATTTTTATTTTGTTTATTTATTTATTTAGAAATATTGCAATCTGTCACAATTAAGGACATTTATAACAGTGTTGAAAGTGCAAATTCACACTCTATTTACAATAAATAATATAGAAACTAATTATAATAAAAGTAAATATAATGAATAACGAGATATGTTTTAGAGTAACAGGTTTATATTTTTTATTTGTTATGATTTTCTCTTTTAATGGGAAATGTTGGTTTCAAGAAATGGGTAGGGGAATTAATGATACCAACCTGTTGTCTAGAAACATAAAAAAGGTTCGGCTATTTCATGAAACTTATTATTTAGTCATAACCACTAGCGGATCCAGGATTTTTTTTTTTTAGGGGGAAGCAGGGCTTCAGTCCGAAAGCATATACATATATAACGATAATTAACTTAGAAGAAAAAGAAAGAAACTAAACTTTCTAACTACCTATATAAAATGGTATTAAAGTGAGTCTTGAAGTCCAATTAAATGAAATTACACGAACAATAATACTTTTAGACATAGTTTTTTTCAAAAGACATGGTTATATTTTCCCGTTTTGGGTAGGGCTTCAGCCTGAAACCTCTCCCTCTCCCCCCGTAGATCCTCCGGTGTTCATATCACCGCATTTCTCATAACCAGCAACGTTTGTTTCACTATTGCCAAATATGCGTTAAACGTGTTTGTCAGAAATGGCTAGGTAGGGTGAAAAAAAAAATGTTTCACTATTAGTCTAAATAAAAATATCCATTGTTATTCAAGAGTTATTTATATTTTTACAGCGTTGCATACATTTTGAAGCCAAAACAAAAAAAAAAAAACAAACAAAAGAAAAATTTAGTGAAATTCATTTTATCATAAAATTTTTATTGTTACATTTATACTTAAGTTAGTATTTTAGTTGGAAGTTAGATTTCAACATTGATGAAAATAAATAAACTGCTTAGGTCATTTAAAATTAAATTTTTGATCTAGGACTGATCCGCTCTATGTATTAATTCTCTTAAAAATATATATATTTTTTATGAAGTAATGTTATTTCTTAAAATTCTATTTTTTGTAAAAATTATGCTTTAATGTTCCTATTTAGTTTTACCATCTTTATTTTATGATTTTCATGTTTGAAAAATTTTATACTCAATGGATACTGTTGTGCATTATGTACAATTTAAATAAATCGTTTAAAATCTTTTGAGATCTAAGAATTGATTTGGGAAATATTATATCTTCAAATCTGGGTGTTAGTAATAAGTTAAGTCAAAAATATAAATTAAATAAAGTTAGAAACATAAATTGACTATTTTTACTTTCTAATTAACGTACAAGCGGCTTAGAAATTCAATTCTGGGCATGAATTATTATTTGCTTCATATTCATTCATCATTCCTACTATTATTATTTTATTTTTTCAGAAGTGAAACCATTTCCAAATCTAAACCCAAATATTGAGAAACTTCATCAATATATGAACAAGGAAGTCCTTAAAAACACAACGTTGAACAATCATGGTTTGCTGAAGAGGTCCCTGCACAAATTGAACGGGTTAATCAGTATGTTTTTTATTTATTTATTAATTTATTCAGAAATATTACAATCTGTCACAATTAAGGACATTTATAATAGTGTTCAGAGAGCACATTCACACTCTATTTACAATAAATAATACAGAAACTAATAATCAGAAAAGTAAATATATATAAACAAAAGTACTAAGCTAATAAAATAACAACTAAAACACATGCATACTATACAATATTTACAGAATCCATTCACTCAGGAGAACTCCAAGGCAAGCATTTTGCCCCACTAGTGAAAGGAAAGGCAGGACTCTAGAAGATCCAAGCGCCTCGTACTCAACCGCATTACTCGTATTAAGAACCAATTGAGACTGAAGAGAGGCGCTATAATCACACATACTTGGCTTGAGTGGAGGATCTGGCCATTGCCAGAACTCCAATATATGCTTATTCATAAGTCTCTGGGCTACTACCGCAGAAGTAACCTTCGAGGAGGATTGTAAAGATGGGTGGTGCTGGATAGAGATTGTGCAAGGGGATTTGGATGGTAGGTAAGATTCTGGTGAAATTTGGAGAATTTTTCTGGAATAAGGTCTAGGACAAATGGGATATTAAGGTCATGGTGTAGGGTTTTGTTAGGTACATAGAATGGAGCATCAATTATTGTTCGAAGGACTTTAGATTGAAAGGATTGGATACGTGTGATGTTAGAAAATTTTGCTGTCCCCGCACAGTTCAAGTCTTTATGTCCATATATGTTTCAGGATTGTCTATTTCGGGATCGGAGTAGGATGATAAGATAGCAGTGTCGTCAGCGAATGTTGCAAGGAAAGTATCGGAATGAACAGGGATGTCAGTAGTAAAGAGGATGCAAAGAACGGGACCCAAGACGCTGCCTTGGGGTACACCGGCTTTAACGGAGTAGATGTTGGAATATTCTGTTCCACAGGGAACTTGAGAGGAGCGGTCAGAGAGGTAGGAACGGAGGACTAGGTACAACGGATGAGGTAAATGGATTTTAATCTTGAAGAGAAAGCCGGCTTGCCATACCCGGTCAAATGCCTGTGCAATGTCCAGAAATGCACCCGAACTTCATTCCTTGTTTTCTAGGGCTGAGGAAATATGATCAACTAGGAGTCCTTGTTGAACAGTAGGATGTTCAGTGCGAAAACCAAACTGATAGGAAGAAATGTTTTTGGATTCTATAATGGGTAGGATTCATTTCAAGAGGATCTTTTCAAAAATTTTTGAAAGGATTGGGAGTAGGCTAATTGGTCTATAGGATGTTGAGCTATAATCAGTAAGTAATACCGACTTATTAACATAATACATTAGTGACATTAGATTATACTAATTATTAAATAAATAAAATCAAGTACTAAAAAAAAAAAAAAAAAAAAAAAAAAGAAATAGTTTAGTCATATTCTCTATTTGGAATATTCTCTATTAGTCATATAACTATGGGAATATTAGCTTTTTTTGGAGACATAATTCTACCTCTTTAAGGCATTAGACAACCTAATTTTATTTAAATACTGTAAATAAAATCAATATTATATTGACTTTTTGGTTCGAAAGTTTCAATTTTCCTAAAAAGCCTTTCAGTAGAGTAGGCCAACTATATTTTTGTCATGAAAATAAATTTCAGAATTGTTTCTAGCCTCCTTTAAAACTCTTAAATACGATTTTTTTTTAAATTAAAAAATACATAATTTTAGTTAATAAATATAATATTTTTTATTTTATTGGAAGATTTTTCCATACAATGTAATAAACAATCCATAACACCTCAGAATTATATCCCAATTTAAGTTCATCCCATTAAAAAGTTCATAAACTGCAATGTGGCTCTACACGAAAAATAATTTTTGAATTATCATTAAAGAATTAGAGTAATTGAAAAAGAATTAAATTAAGTTTCATATTACATAATTTTATGTCAAATTAAAAGCTGATTATTGTAAGATTTCTATTTCCTCAAAATTACTACTTCAGTTTCCACAGTTGTGTTTTCACAAAAGGATTTGTCTGAGTTCATACATTGATTTTTTGACCTTTTTTTGTTATACATCATATTTCAGTATGTCAATAGAAATGCAAAAAATGAGTTTCATCAAATTCTTCGAACAACAACGTTCTAGGAACCAATAGGTTAATTAAAGTTGTGCTATCCCACTTTATTGTTTTATGATTGTTATTTTCTTTTTTTTTCTCTATTTTTTGTTTTATGGAGATATACATCATGACTTTTGCACTTTATATTACATCTGATAACAGAAGTAGTATTTTTTTATCAGACATCAGACTTCTATATTGTTCACTGAACAACCCGACTTTTAATGTAGCAACCAGCAACATTTCCACTTAGTCCTTTGTTATTCCTTAATTTTGAGAGACCAAGGACCAACACAGTTGGTTAATTTCAAAATACACTGTATATATATATAATAGCCATAAAGTATTTTTATGATTTATAATTGATCGTAGTAACACAACGAAAAATTGTCACTGTGATTATTTTTCTTAGCTTATAGCAATACTGCGATTGTTATAGAATCATTTACATTATAATTATTGTAAATTATTTATTGCAGAATCAAAGCATAACAAAGCTAAGAAACCAATTAAGAAAAATAAGCCTTTAGGATTTTCGTTTAAAAAGCATAAGGACGATAAATTAAAGAATCCTCAACCTCTAAGAAAAACAAGTACAATAAAAAGTAATTATATAACTTTTTTTCAAATGTTTATAACATTTTGGTGAAATTGTAAAGCATTTAGCATTTAGTAAATGATAAATTGATTGTCTTATTATATTATTTTGTATAATATTTTATTTTTATGATCATTTATACATGTTGTAAAATAAATTAGTAAGACGTGGTATTTCCTAAAGTAGAAAATTCTGCTGTGCTTTAAGGCACCCAAGTTTTATTATATTAATTACTAATTTAATAACTTTTTTCTCCGTATTTTTAAACTTCTTATTACATACTCAAAACTTTGGATAAATTTATTGCAACTTAGATTCCTTCTTAATTAGTATAATACAATAGTTAAGTGCATATTTTCTACCATTGAAATTGTAAAAACTTGATTTTGCCATCAATAGAAGATAGCAAAGAATAACATTTTATTAAATTCTTCAAATACCTCAGTTTATCTAAAATTATATTATATACTTAAGCATATTTAGTTAAGCATTTATTTTTATATAAAATATAAATTTTCTTTTTAACGTGGCGCAAGTAGCTAATCATATATGGAATTCAAGATTTAAACTTTAATGACGTATCTATTCTTTTTTTTTTCTTTTGAATTAGTATTAAATTGATATAACCAAAATTATTTATGATATTTATAAATGAAAGACTGCTTTCCAGTCTTGTAAATTAATAATCAAATAGAAACTTAGTAATGTGAAATAATGCATTGTGAATGGTGATCTTAGAATCAAAATATTAAGTTTAATTTGGTTTTGTTCATCTTGATTTCTTAATAATTAGTTTTCATGTAATTTATATGAGTGGTATTTGAAGAAAAAAAAATAGAATATAGTATAATAGAAAAGCAACTTAATTCAGGGAGAAAGTCCCATAAGAATAAGAATTGGATAGAGAAAAAAAAAGATTAATCTGAAAATAAAGCCGATTACATAATGAAAAATTAAATATATATATATATATATATATATATATATATATATATATATATATATATATATATATATATATATATAAGATAAAGACCGGAGACTGGCGATGTCATTCTTAATGCCATCCTGAATGTAAATAAACATAAGAAATGTATATAAAGAGGATTACTAAATGAATAAAGCAGTGTCTATTCAGAAGCCGTGAGTGTTGCATCTCAACCCCTTTCCTTTTTTTTTTTTATTGTTAAAGTCTGGCGACGCTTAACTGGTGCCGAAACCCGGGACTACGTCAGGAGAACAGAGAAGTAATTATTTTTAAGTTCATTTTTTTTTCCTTTCGTTTTTTCTTCTCCTAGTCACAAGGAAAGAGGGAGATGCCGACAGAGGGCTTAATCAGGCCGGGAGTGTTAAGCGCCCCGGGAATCCCTCAACCTCAGGAAATTCCGCAGATGCCTCAGATCACGCAGGCCCCTCAGGTTCCTCAGATACCTCAAATACCTCAGGTACAGCAGATCACGCAGATCCAGGAGATTCCTCTTTTACCAAGGGACACATTGGCAGAAGCGCACGCTAACGCGCTAGAATGGATGAAAATAAGAGCGGCGACCACGCAGGACCTACGGAGAGCCATTGCGGACGTGGAACGCTTCGGTGGCGAGGTAGGGGAGCTTAACCATTTCCTGAAAGGCGGAGACCGCCTCATGTCAAGAATAGAGGTAAAGGTGGCGGAGGACCTGGTAAACCTAGGGGACGCGGAAGCCTTGAAAGCAGCTCTTGTATGCCGCGTAAGGATTAACATCCTGAACCAAATTCAGGCGGACGAGGAGACACCATGGCCAGTGATCAAGGAGCGGTTGAAGAAGGCTTTCGGTGAAGGCAGATGGACGCCGAAGGAAGACATCTTCCAAATGTTTAGAGAGCGCCGGTCCCAAAGACAGACAAGAGGACAGTATGCGGGGGTACTAGTGGCGAAGTACAACCGCATAACTGAGAAAATGCGCGAAACAATGAGTGTGGGAGAGGTCGAAGCCAGGATGGAGTTCCTGTCGACGATTCTCAAGGTCCAGCTGGCTAAGGAAACGGGGAGGAGAGACGGATTGCCCAGAGAGAGATCATTCCTCGAGTGTGCCCAGGAAATGATCGACCTAAGCGCAAGAAAGGAAGAGACGCGGATGGACGTGGAAGAACCAGGGTGGATCCGGGTGAATGACAGACGATCCCGGACAGCCCCGATGGGTTGGAAGAAGAGGGAAACGAGACAACCGAATGGAGAAAAGGTCATGACGGCCGAAAAAAGAGATTGACAGTCGAGGTCGAGGAATGGATCTCGCAGGGAAGATAGAAAATGTCATGGGTGTGGAAAGCCAGGACATTTAGTAGCACAATGTCCGCGCACTAGATGTTTCGAGTGCGGGACCGAAGGGCATATTGCTAGGCAGTGCCCATACATATTTCGGAGGAGAGAAAGACCTGGATGCGACTGCCAGCTAATCACTCTGGGTGGTCCCTGTAGTGTAGAGGGAGAAGCGACAATTAGGCTTGATCGGTGGGCAGAAAAAGAGGGCGAACTAAAGGTACACGTAGTAGAAAACATGACTCGGGAATACCAGGTCATAGTAGGGTGCGATTTGTTAGGGCAGGTAGGGGCGAGCATTAGAAACCGTAGAGGGGCCTGGAGTATTAGGCTGTATAGGGGTCGCGAGAGAAAGAAAGGTGCAGATAGGAGCGGTGAACAGAGTGGAGGACTGGAGGAAGTTGCTACAGGAGGAGTTTGGGGATATTTTCTTCAGGGAGGGTGAGGTATTGGGGGTAACAGGGAGGACGGTGCATGAAATCCCACTGAAGCAGGATAGGTTAACTTAAGTGAAAGAAAGAAGATACCCGCAGACGCTGAGGCAGCATATTCGAGAGGAGTTAGACAGTCTAAAGGAACAAGGGATCATAGTTGATAGCACCTCACCATTCAATAGTCCCCTGTGGGCGGTGAAAAAGAAGGCAGCGCCGGGGGATAATAACGAAAAATACAGGATGGTAGTAGACTATCGTAAATTGAACGACAACACGGTAGATGAGAAGTACCCGATCCCCAGATTCGAAGATATATTCGATAGGTTAAGTGGGGCCGTGGTCTTTAGCACGTTGGACCTCAAGGCGGGATATCACCAAATACGGATGCACCCGGAAGACCAACACAAAACAGCGTTTACATTTGAAAGGGGGCATTATGAATTCACCAGAATGCCGTTTGGTCTGAAGAATGCGCCCATAACGTTTCAGCGTCTGATGGACGAATTTTTGAGGGGTATCGATGATTCGGTATGTCAGGTATACATGGATGACCTGCTGATTTTTAGTAGAACGGAAACCGAACACGTGGGGCATCTGAGGTCAGTATTCGAAAGGCTCCGGCAATTCGGGCTGAAATTGTCAAGCGAGAAGTCCCTGCTGGGACAAACGCGGATCAATTTTTTAGGCCACACTATCTCTAGCGAGGGGGTCAGACCGGATGCGGCAAAGGTGGAGGCAATCACACGGATGGCGGTACCACGGGACGTTAAGGGGATCCGTAGGCTTCTCGGGACGCTGAACTATTACCGGAGATTCGTACCTGAGATGGCAGAGTATTTGGTACCTATCAACAATTTGCTGAAGAAAGGCGCGAAGATTGTGGTGACACCAGAGATGGAGAACAATATCCGGAAATGCATGAATAGGTTGCAGACAGAGCCTGTGTTGGCGTTCCCGGATTTTGAGAAACAATTTAATATAACCACCGACGCTAGCGAATACGTGTTAGGGGCCGTTTTGTCCCAGGGAGGAAGCGAGGGTGAACGACCGATAGCATACGCGAGCCGTCGGCTTACGGGTGCGGAATCGCGATACAGCGCTTTGGAGAGGGAGCTACTCGCGATAGTGTGGGCTATCGACCATTTCAGGCCATACGTATTTGGGAGGAAGTTTCGAGTCCACACCGACCACAAACCCCTTCAGTGGGTAGGGAAACTCAAGGAAACCTCAGCTAGGGTCACGAGATGGAAGGAAGTCCTTAGCCAATACAATATAGAGGTGGTGTATAAGCCGGGAAAGGAAAACGTGGTGGCAGACTGGCTCTCTAGGGCCATCATGATCAACGCGGTAGAAGAGGACGGGGGAGGACCATCGCGAGACGTGCGCCAATTCTTGAGTGAGTGGACTCCCGATGGCGAAGGGGCAGATGATACCGTCGGTATAGAGGACAGAGAAGAGTCCCCGGAAGAGGAGAGCTCAGCGGAGGAGAGAGCAGCGGAGATGGAGGAGATAGACGACATCATCAATGACAAGCATCGTCAGGTAATCTGGAAAACGAGAGTAGCAGGGATGATGAAAATAGATTACCGAAGATATGGGAAAAGTAAGATTCGCGTCATCTGGTCGCAACCCGGGGTGAGTGAAGAGCAAATCCGTACGGCACTGAAGGATACCACGGAAGCGGGAAAAACGCACCATCTATATGTTGGAAATAACACGGTATGGGATAAAATAAAGCGGATGTGGAGATCCGAGCGAATAGGCGTGGACAGAACACTCATCCGTGTATGCAAGTATGCGGTGGAAACTATACAGGACGAGGAGCAACAACAGGCAGTCACATTGGCTTATCACCAGAGGAAAACCAACCACCGAGGCGTGAATGAGACGTTGCAGGCATTACGTCGAAAGTATTTCTGGTGGGGCATGAAAAAATCCATCCAAGAGACCATAGGGAAATGCGAGGTGTGTATGCGCACGAAATATGATCGACACCCCCCCAGAGGAGTTCAGGAAGAGACACCTACAGGGAATATGCCATTACAGGACCTCCAATAGGGGGCGGGGTGGCCGAATAGGCTAAAGCGTGTGTAACAGCACCGCTAGTTGCCTGGCAACCGGATAACAGAAATTTGAGATGAATTATTAAATTTCCCCGCCCTCACCCAACGGCCCGGGAAAATTCCGTATAGCCTAAAAGGCGAGGTAGGGAAGAACAAAAAAAAAAAAAAAAAAAAAAAAAAAATTACAGGACCTCCAGATTGATACATTTACCTG